ATAGGACTGTTATCATAAATTCAAGATCAGATAATGAGATAGTTGGTAAGTGAGGAGTAGGTGTACTGCTAGAATATTGCCCATTTACTTATTAGAAATTAGCAACAGGTAAGTGACTGCCTTCATATAAAAGATTTAGAACAAATAGAATTGTTGTTGTTGTTGTTAAGTGTCGTGGAGTCGGTTTTGACTCATAGCGACCCTGTACAGGGTTTCCGAGGCTGTAAATCTTTACAGGAGCAGAAAGCTGAACAGCTGGTAGTTTCGAACTGCTGACCTTGTGGTTCACAGCCCGATTCGTAACCACTGCGCTACCATTTACTTATTAGAAATTAGCAACAGGTAAGTGACTGCCTTCATATAAAAGATTCAGAACAAATAGAATAGAACAATCAAAATCCTTGAAAGTCAAAACTGGTTTAAAAATGTGTTAGGTTTGAGGTTTCTTGTTCAGTTGAGGACGAGAGAGTGACCACTGGAACTTTCTGCCTTATTTGCCCTGATAATTCCTATCTGCACATACACCTGCTGTTTGCTTGCAATGTTGCGGTACTGACAGTGGAATGCTGAAAACTCTGTTGAGAAAATCACACTTTGAGGTCTTAAATGTACCTCAGTGATTTTTGAGAAGGCAGGGGTAATCCATCATTAATTTCCTCAGCTTTTCTTCTCTTTATATCATGTTTCTGGTTTTCTCATTTTCCATATCCTGTAGTTTTCTGTTTCTGTACTTTTCCTTTTGGATCTGCTCTTCTCTCCTGTGCCATTCTTCTGCTTTTGTTTTTGTAATTAAAATTCTAGCCATGATCTGCCAGTGACTAGCCTCGATGCTCCACCTTTCCTGCATTCCCAAGTAGACTGGATCATCCCTCATTGTACTTCTTCTGTGTTTCTCTTATGACAGTTTTCAGTTATTTCTTAAAATTATTTATGTGCCTGGCATGACTCCAATCAGTTTTAAACTAATTCATGGTAGTAGCCATATCTTAACTTTTTCTTCCCATCCTCGTGTTGTATTTTGAGCAAAACATTTACTGAGTAATATGTCAGACACTGGACTGGAGACTAGGGTAAATAGATTAAAGAGCTCCAACGTTGTTGACCTAGCTTACGTAAAGAGTACTGGTGTGCTGTAGGATAAGCATTGGACTGTTAACCACAAGGATAGTGGTTTAAACCCACTGGTCACTTCTTAGAAACCCTATACAGGGTCTTTATGAGTTAGAACTAACTTGATGGCACTTAACAACAAGCATACATAATTTAGTTTTAACATTCCTAAATGAGAAAAGTTGATTTCTAAGTGTATATACACTTTAAAAATATATAATCCCAATTCCTCCCCCACTTTCAAGGCGCAATATGAAGGGATTTGAAAGTTCATGGGAAAAGTCCATGATCTGTTTATGCACTTTTCAGTTATCAGTTAAGATATAAAATGTTTATTTATGATCAGGAAAAAAGACTATTGTTCTGCAAAGCAACTGTATTTTCATCTCCCAACTTTTTTACTTAGAAAATTCCCTGTGTTCATATTTCCTGTTTGCATTTTTAATACACACACACAAATATTCTGTATTGAAACCTTAAAAATCAGGGTTTCATATGGCAGTAAAATAAATGTATCACTGCCTCCTATGAATGAACTCATAAAACTTAAGGTCTTCGGCAAAGGGTTTTAACCATTGTACCAGATGAAATACAAGGATAAATGATGCATTTTGAGTTTGGTAGTTCTCTTTATAAGTAATACCTGTGTGACACCTGAGAGTGATATGAATCATTTCAAATGTCAGTGGTGATGGCATTTCCTCTTACAAGTTTATTAATATTAGTTAGAAAGTGAGTTCTTCTTACATTGCTGTCATACTTAAGTTTTCTACCTACTGGAAAAATGAGAGCAAGACAGCATTATTTAAAACATTGCTAAGTGAACATTGTGTTTCTTTATGATTGATTATTGTATTTCCTTTTACAACAGAAGATTAATGTTGCTGTTTGTTGTTCTTGGAAGTGATTATGGGTTGGGTTTTTCTAAACATCAATATACTCTTATGTAAGCATATTTTTGTTTTCTTTCAGAGTTTCAATTGTCAACTTTTTGTTGTGTAGAAATGACTTAGATTTGTATCTTTTTTTTTTGCTTTTTACAATAGAATAAAATATAAAAGTTTATGCAGTAGATGTACCACTGAGTTTTTTGGATAAGTGGTTATAGTAGTTAATTCAGTGATCTTTTGAATTAGTTTTTCAGGAAAGGAAACCTCAGTAGCAATAACAAAGGCTAATGGGAATTATATACCTGCTTTTAATTACTTTATTAAATAAAGTCCATTCATTTATTATGCTTTAGTGATATCAAATGTGACAGCTGGCAAACTGCTAGAATCAAGGAAGCCATAATATATTCCAAGTAAAAATAAAAATTTTTCTATTCTAGAATCAAAATTCAAACTAATTTTATTTATATATGCAGTTCTGGGTGGTGCAAATGGTCAATATGCTTGGCTGCTAACTGAAAAGTTGGCATTCAGGTCTACCCAAAGGTACCTGGGAAGAAAGACCTGGCAATCTACTTCTAAAAAATCAACCACTGAAAATGCTATGATGACAACAGTGACCAATAAAAAAGAGTAGCTGTTGAGACTACTTATATACAACCAATCAAAAACTCCATGTGATTTGGTTCCTAGTCTTGGAGGTGTATGGTCATAGTTTTATAGGACGTCCCATAAACTTGGCCTAGTAATGTATTTAGTCCTTCTGTTCTACCTCCTGGTTTGTTGCATAGTGTCTAGGGTCTTAAAATCTTGTAAGTGGCTATCCAACATACAGCATACAGTTTTTACTTCCTCTGACATGAGGCCAGACCTGGATGGTGCCCGGCTACCATTACTGAATGTCTTCATCAAAGATGTTATAAAAGAATTCTGATTAAAAAAAGGAAAAATTGCATAATTTCAGATTCTCTTAGATTCCAGAATTTTGGGATCCGTGAAGGCTAGGTGGACCCCCAAAATTTAATGCCCTGGAATAGTCTATGTATCTTAAACCAGAACCCTGAAGTCTTCCTTAAGACCAAACAATAGATGAGCTTAACTAGTAAAAAATTTTTGTTTTGAGCATTATGCTCTTTTAAGATCTATAATGGATCAAATTGACAGCAACAACTTGAAAGATTCGATACGAAACTTAGGGGTAATTAGTTGCTTCTGAGCTTCCTAGTACCCAAAGCAAAAAGGGAAACCTGATTAATTTCAACAATCCATACATTCACATAATGCATAAATATATTACTGTATGAGTATATCGTTTTATAGTTAAGATGAATACTTTGTATGTGTGCGTATCCTAGCAGCCTTTAAGAGTCCTGGTATGGCACTGTAGGTAAGCACTGGACCACAAACTCCGTTTGAACTGCAAAGTTGCCAGTTAAAACCCACCAGCCACTCCTTAGAAACCCTGTACAGGGTTGCTGTAAGTTGGAACTGACTCAACAGCACATAACAGCAACAAAGTGATATATATATATATATATATATATATATTATTATTGTTTATTGATGTTGAGTTAGTTCTAACTCATACTGTATAGGGTTTCCAAGGAACAGCTGGTGGGTTTGAACTGCCAACCTTGTGGTTAGCAGTCCAGATCCTACAGCGCCACACCAGGACTCACTTTGTGTCTCTCTCTCAATTTCTCTCTCTTTCTCTCTCTTTTTCTCTCTCTCACTCTGTGTCTCTCTCTCAATTTCTCTCTCTCTCTCGGTGTGTGTGTGTGTATACAGTTGTCAGGAAATTTATGTTTTTCTTAGTCACCTCTGAGAGAAATATAAATTCAACTGTGTAGTGATACAGGTGACTTAGCATAGATCTTTTGACTCCTGTTATATCTTTCTTCCTACTGCCTACTTCAACTAGGCCCTGACTACTTTAATGTTATATTTTAATTATATAGTTTAATAATGAAATTTTCTGGATAGAAGGTAACCATGACTTCTCATCTGCCTTTCTTCTGGTAGGAATTCTCGTTAAATCATGGGCACAGATCTTTGCTACCTCCAAAGCCCAAAAATTACTATTCCGGATCATAGATTGTTTGCTGCTACCACATACGGTGTTACAGCAAGAGAAGGAGCTACCTGCAGCTATGCTGACTGCAGTTCAGAAGAGTCTTCCTTTGTATCTTCAGGTATTGTAAATGTGGCCACTTAAAAGCAAATATTTTAATTGAAAATTTGCCTTAAAACATAGTTTACTAAAGAAGATTTTAATACTACGTTGTAATTTCAAAAGGCACATCCACTGAACAAACTTTAAATTCTTTTGTGTTTGAAAACAAGATTAAAAAGGCAGACTTTCTGCCCTGAAGGAGCTTACAGTCCAACTATCACAGACATTTATAATGGTGTGCTGTTTGTCTTAGAGGACTCAGCTGTCTGCAGTCTGATTGGGAAGAAGAGCATCAAGAACATGTGAGAGATGATACCAGACGGTATTAGGTTTAAAACAGCAGGGTGGTTAGGAGTTGATAGGGAAATCCTTTCACGGGGAACAGCACATGTAAGGGCATGTATGAGCTTTAAGAAAAGATGGCACCCTGAAGAGAACCAAACCCTTCAAGTGTTAGGTAGAGAATCATTTGGGAGTAGCCACATGATGGAGGACTTTATATGCCACGCTAAGAAGTTTAGACATACACATTTTTTTTTTTTCAAAAATGTTTTATTGTGAGTTATGTGATAGTTTACATGGGAGAACATTAGTTTTACATTCATTCTATCGTATATCGTCTCATTGTCATGGTTGCAATCCTTCCCCCGTACCCCCTAGATCTTCAGCACACAGTCGCTCTCCCTCTCTGGATCTAAAGTCTCCAGCTGCTCATCATCTCTGGCTCCATTTCAGGCATCACTGCTTCTCTGGGTAGGGTCCCGCTCTCTGCTCTTCTCCCTTGATGGTCCTAGGGACCTCCGCTCCTAGACTGAAAAGTTAATCACTCCCCTCCTTGCTATAAAACGTCTACCTTTACATTTCCAACCCTCACAGTCAGTCCTGATAACAATTATTCACTATTGTATCGTAAGAGATCCATCTGCATTTCATTGCATCAGCCCCGCCTAGTCAGATTGAATACTACTCACTGGGGATTCTACCTTCCTCCAAGCCCTCTGGATCTAGGTTCCCTCTTGAAAGCTTGTAAGCCAGTCACTTATTGCCTTTGTAGCCCCCCACCCCCCATTTTGGGTAGCCAAGGTCCAAGTTGCCTATCCCTGTCTACTCTGTGTTAGACATACACTTTTACATCGTTGGATTTTAGCAAGGTTTGAGTGGCCTAGTTACAATTACATCTTAGATGATTCTGGCAACAATATCTAATGTAGTTATACGGAGATAGATTGGAGACCTGGAGGATAGTAGATAAGTCATTGCTATAACTTAGAGCAGATTTCAGCAGGTTCAGGAGTTCTAAACAAAAGTACTAGCTGGGTGAGTATTCTGGAGGAACAGAAAGACATGAAACACTTCGTAGATGTCAGAGTAGTTGACATGTAGATAGGGAACTTGGTAGCTTGTTGGTAAAGCGCTTGGCTGCCAACTGAAAATTTGGTAGTATGAACCCACCAACCACTGACAAGAGAAAGAGCTATCAGGTCTGCTTCTGCAAAGATTGACAGTCTTGAAAACTCTGTGGGACTGTTCAGCGAGATCCCTCAGGGTCACTAAGAGTTGAATCTTACTTGACCACGATAGGTTTTTTGCTTTTAGTAGTACTACAAATGGAAATGAAAATTTCTAGAGGTACAGACATGAAAGTAAGAATTGATGCTTGAACACTTTGAGGTGGTATAGAATACCTAGGTAACTACATCTAATAGACAGAAAGAAGGAAGCTGGAGATGTACTTTTTTTTTTATTCATTAGTGTATGATACTGAAGCTACGTACTTTCTAACTTGAGGTTTAGAAACCTGGTGTGGCACTATAGGGTAAGCACTGGGCTGCTAATTGCAAAGTTGGTGGTTCATACACACCAGATGCTCCTCAAACCCTGTGCAGGGTTGCTATGAGTTAGACTCAACTCTGCGGCACTTAGTAACAACTTGAGATTCAGCAAGGGAAGCTGAGGAAGAATGGATTTTGATAAGGTAGTGAGTAGTCTCATTCACAAATGCATTTATTTTTTTTTCAGCAGAATTTGAAGATTTTTTTGAGAAATTCACACTTGAATTTTGTATTCCTAGCTACCTTAAAGAGCCTTGGTGTGGCGCTATAAGATAAACACTGGACTGAGAACCACAAAGTTGACAGTTCAAACCCACCAGCTGCTCTTGGAAACCCTATACAGGGTTGTTTTGAATGGGAACCAATTCAACGTCACACAACAACAGTAGCCTTTAAAATCAAGTTTAATATGTCTATTTTCAGAAAGATGAAGAGGGAGGCATGCCCAGCATAGCCAGGGCTAATAATCCTAAAGAGCGGGATGTCTGGAGGGGCGGGTATTGTGGGCAATAGGAAATTCTGAAGTGTTTGTTCCACGTGACCCTGGTAAGCTCATACAACCCATTTAGTAGGAATTCTTATAGACTTCAAAAACAGTACTTTAAAAAATTGGATGAATGATCCTATTGGCAGAATTGATTTGTAGCTATATCTTTAGTTTCTTCAAGGTAACCAACTTTCCTCTTGAGAATTTTCCGAAAGTATCCATTAATTATGTCATCTTTCATTGATTTAATGTGCTATTTCTAAACAGCAAAAAAAGAAATAGATTTAGGGAGGCAGGAATCCATTATTATTCCCCCCCTGAAGTTTTGCTGTCTTTATTGCTAGTGTTGCAAGCTTTATACTACTTTTCATTAAAAGTAAACTTTCAAATTTTCTTTTGGGGAGATATTTAAAATGGATGGGTAACAAACCATGTTAATTATTTCTCTGGGATAACTGTGAATCACAAAGTACCAAAATATAAATAATTATATGTATTTAAGAATATGGGATTTTAGCAATATTGGTTGAAAAACATTTTTTTTTTCAAGGCATTTAATCATTTAAATGTTAAATACCATAATGGAATATAAGCAGGAGAAATTAAATATGTAGTCATGCAAGAAAACACTGTGACTTTGAGTGACATTGAGGAAGCTCTTAGATCCTCTAATCCTCAGTTTCTCCAGCTGTAAAATGGTCATGCAATAGTATGAACTTGATGGGATTTTTTTAGAAGTTGAAATAATTAATAAAAAGTACATGACCTAGTGACTGGCATATAAAAACTTCTGAATAAATTATTGTATTCTTTTTCTCCCTTTGTTATTTTTTTTTAATCATCACATTTCTTAACATATATTATGTTGGCATACATTATGTAGTCTTCTTATTCAGACAAAGTAACCAGTATTCTATCTAAAAAGCTAACTTTTAAAAATATATTTTTTAATGTTATAATTACACATGTATGTATAATTTACAAATGTGATAAACAAGATTTCTGGATATGAAGGAAAAAGGAAGTGTGCTTTGTTTTCTTGCTATATATGTACTCACTCCTGCTCCCATCCTCTGGGAATGAATGCTTGGTTAGATTCCATAACATTTGTATATTACCCAAGCTCAGCACTCCCTTAGATTCATATAAGCATTTTCCTATCCATTGATGAAGTATCCTTGTTGATTGAGATATATGTTGATTGAGATAACTTATAAATTCTGACATGGATATGAATGCTGGAGACTATGTTGGTAAGCTTCTTAGATATTGTTTATTTTTAAAAACTCTCCCTTTTAATATTTATTTCCTTGTGTTTTTTTGTTCTCTTGTAGGGCATGTGTATCATATGTTGTCAGTCTCAAAATCCAAATACCTATTTGAATCAATTGCTTAGCAGTGTTACTGAGCAGTATATTGGACGTTTTCTTCCAGCTTCACCACATGGTTCAAGTGTTGAACAACATCCTGTTTTGTTGGCTTTGAGAAAGTCAGCTACTGTTCCGCCAATGTCATTTCTGAAGAAATGCATTGTGCAAGTCATAAGGTATATCTAATATTAAAAATCAGGTGGTATGTACAGTTTATTAATATTTATTAATATATTACTAATGTATTTAAAAGTAATCGAACCACATCTCAGAATATTGACAGCCTTACGATACTGATAATGTTAGGAACATTTTCTTTTTTTTCCTGATAAACATTGAAGAACAGAGTCAACAGAGAGAGAAAGCAATACCCTACAGATGGTGCTCTGAATTTGAACTTCTAGGCTCCTAAACTGCAAGATAATAAATGTCTTTTTGTTAGAAAACTAAGACAATAGTTTTGACTGAAATTCAAAGGTCAAATATATATTGTTTTATATATATTT